CACTCTCAGCGCAAAGGCTGATCTCTAGGATGGGGACCTCCGGGGGAGGGAGGAGGTGAGCAGCAGGCAGGAGCAGGGAGCACAACTTTGCTATGGGAAGGGGTGAACAAGAAGCACCTACTGGAGCTGCTGCACCATGGGGGGGCTGTGGGGCACCCCACAGTGCAGGCTGGTCCCAGCAAAGGCTGGGGGCTACGTTCAGCTGTGGGAGCCCCATAGCGCTGTTAGCTGTGGCCTTGGGCTCTCAAGGCTTCTTGAAGTAGGGACAAAAGAGGGACGAAAGGCAGGAGCAAGGCATGGGGGTGTCAGTCTTGCGGGAGGTGCTGGCACACCTCACCCTGGCCCTTACTTTGTGCCTGTCAGTAACCCTGCGGCTCTGGGCTGGCAGAGGGTTCGGTGTACGTGGTCCAGCACAAGGGCTGCTCTCCTGGGATGGAGCTGGTGGCATGTCCCATCCCGGCTGGCCCCGCAGCCGGCCTGCCCGGGGCTGATCGGCCAGAGCTGCCCCTCCGTGGCTCCCCTGAGGCCGTGCCCGACGCGGGGGCCTAAAGCCGGAGTCCTTCCCGCCCGGGCGCCGGCGCTGTGCATGCGCTGTGCGGTCCAGGCCGTACGGCTGTATTGCAGCGCCATCTAGTGCTGTAGGATGGGGAAGCCCAGCACCCCAACATCCCGGCAGACCCGGGAGCTACGGCAGCACCGGGGGGACAGGCCAAGGCCAACCTGCCCGGAGACCCAAACATGCTGTTGGTGAGGACGGACGGGTGGCACAGCGTGTCCCCTGGCTTGGGGCAGCCGGAACTCGCCTCTGTTTCCCTGTGCCCTGCTCTATGTTAGGGAATATCCTGCGAGGATCCCAGGCAGCATCAAGAGGTGCAGATGTTTCCCTGTTTCTGAGCCTAATGGGTCTGCCTCACCTGTTGGTTTTGCCACTTCCTCCGATGGATATAAGGCTTCTGCCCAATCCTTGCGCCACTTTTGCTTCTCTATCAGCCGGATGACCCCAGTTCTGTAAGTCTCTCATTGCCAAGACCTTCATTCTCATAGCATCTCCCACAGTTTCCTGGTGCCCATCTTCCATAGCTGGTGTGAGCGTGACCCCTTCCCACAGCTTGTCACCATTCCCCTTTTACACACCTGAGGCAATGCCAACCCTTTCCAGCCTGGCTTTTGGGACACCTGGAGAGCTTTCTGTGGCACAGTCCTACTGTGCTCTCCTTCCCTGCCTCTGCGTCCCAGCTCATCCCCTCCCAGCTCTTCACCTCCCTCAGGTGCCTGCCACACTCCCTACCTTTCCTGGCACTGGGAGAGCAGGCTGGGGTTTGGCACAGAGCTGGGTGCCATAAGAATGGGAAGCTCTGCAAGAGGGGCTGTGGCGATGGCTTGCCCCACTCCCCTCCCACAGTGTGGGGTACCGGTGGGGAGCACTGGTGTGGATGTTGGATGTGCAGTGGAGTGAGGTGAGTGCTGAGTCCCAGTAGAGATTGCACCCAGATCCCATAGCACTGACAGGCTGATGGCCTGAGGCTCCCTAGGGCAGGAGTTTGGCACCTTCAGCTGAAAAGGGGCCCTTTGGCAGCCTCTGCCTTGGCTGCCCTCCTGCCTTTGAGGATGGAAGGGGCTGTGCCCAAGTGACCTGACAACCCTGAAGTCCTTTTGTCCAAACAGTTTGATGCCTGGCTGCACTGTTCTAGGGATCCAGGAGCGGGATCTGTGCCCCCCAAAAGGGGCAGAGGGACTTGAATCTTCCCAGCCCTCCTGTCGCCCTCCCAGTGCTGCTGGGGGAGGATGGAGCTGGTTGAGTTGGAACAGGACGGTCCTGGCCCTGCTGCTGCTGGCTGCCTGCTGCCTACCACCTGCCTGTGCTGCCTGCACTAGTAGGAAGGTAAGAGTAGCAAAGCAGGCACCGAACATAACGTGGCCCTGGGCTGTTTGTGCGCCTTTTGTTCACCAGTAACTTTTTCGTGAATCAGCTCATTAACCGCATTAGGACGGCTCTGCTTCCTGCCTGAGCGTTATCAGGCAGGGCAGATCTGGGGCACCGTGCCAGCGGGAGCCCTGCTCCACTTTGCTGGGAGCTCAGGCAGCCGAGATTCCCCGGTGGCAGCCGGGGTAGGTAACACGCTGATGGTGCTGGCTGTCGGCAGCGAGGATGTAAGAACCTAGTGCTTGCTGTGTGGTGGGGAGGAGCTGCCCTGTTCCCCCATTGCAGCACACAGGCAAGACCCCAATATGCCCAGGGTCAGGGTCCTGCTTTGCAGCAGCCCTCCCGGTGTTGTTCATTGCCATAGGCCATGCCCATGCTTCAGGGAGCCCCTGTGGTGTGATGGACCACAAAACCATGCAGAGAGCTCCCCTAAAGCCAAAAGCCCGTTGTGCATCACCCTCCTCCCATGCTGCCTCGCTGCTTTTGAACAGCAGATGTGCCAAACCCTAGCTGGGAGGGCTCCCAGGTGAAGGGCAGTGAGGGTCAAGCTTGCTTTGCACAAGCTTCACCCTGAATCTGTCCATGCCAGTTCCCCATTCTGTGAACAGCTCCAGCTCCCACTTGCTTCTCCATCCTTCCTCCATTTCCCAACGTGCCTCTGTTGCCTCTGGCTGTGTATGTGGGCTCCACAGGGCCACCCTGCTGTTGCTGCCAGGCTCCCCCCCAGTGTAGGGGGTGAGCCTTCTATGGTGGGGAGCAGTCTCCCAGGCATGTTCTCTGCCTTGAGGCTGTTGCAGAAACAAATGCCCACTGCATGCTGGTGGCTGAAGGCTCTTGCACACACCATGGGAGCTGCTGAGCCCAAAACACCCCGGCTGTGAAGAGTGAGCAGAGGAATCTGTGGGTCTTGGCTGGGATTCACTCACAATGGCTGCTGCTGCTGCTGCTGCTGCTGAACTAGGCCAGTTCCCTCTCCCCAGCACTGCTTGGCCAGTCTGAGGCCAACAGCTCCAGCATGTGCTGGGAAGCAGCATCTCCAGGTGAGCCAGGGTTTGTGCGAGTGGCTGGGCACTGGGAGTGGCCCTGCCTGGCGAGAGGCTCCTCGCCTGCCCCAGCCAGGTTCTAACCCCCAGAATTGCCCCGTTTGCCACCATGTGGCCCTCCCCTTGTGCAGAGCCCACGCATGTGGACCCCGCTGGGGGAAATTCCCCTGCTCAGAGATGCCTGCTGAGGCTGCAGGTTTCTGGGTGGGGACTTTTTTGGTAAATAAAAGGTGTAACTGCTGTGTTGCTCCTCGCACCCACTTCTCCCCCCACCAGCCTTTGCACAAAGGATGGCATGGGGCTGCCTTCACGCTGTGGTGAGAACCACCCTGGACACATGGGCAGTTGGTGGCACCCAGGTCCTGACCTCCTGCTCCTCTCTTGCCCCTTCCAGCCCCACTTTTCCCTTTGCTGGTGCTTTTGCTGGCCCCGTGTTAATTGCCCCATGCAAGGTAACTGAGAGCTGCCAGCACCACGCTCAGCAGCTGGGTACGGGCACGCTAAGAGCAGCCCATTAGCAGTGCCTCCTGCACCTTCTCTCAGTGCTCTCAAATGCCCCTTAGCCCTACGGGAGGGCACCCACAGCTGCTTGGGCCAAGCACAAGTTCCTGCTCCCAGCACCCGGGGGTCCTTCTCCCGGATTTGGGTGGTGTCAGGTCAGAGCACGCTGAGCTCTGCCCTACCGGGGCCTTTCTGCCACCAGATCGGGCCCCTGCGTTTGCTCCGACGGCTCTTTAAGGGAGGCTTAGCCCCGCGCTGGGAGATGCTGGGGAGGGCTGGGAGATGCCGGTCCCGGGGCGCGGGCCGGTGAGCTGCCAGCTATTTCCCAGGGAGCCACTTGAGGGCGGCAGTGACGCGCCGCAGAGCCGCCAACGCGGGTCCGGCCGGCTCCAACGGGGCGAGACGGACGAACTGGGACAGACCAGGCCGGAAGGGTGCGGGCGGGCAGGGAAGGGGCTCCGGGGCCACCCCGGGCTTCCTCAGGATTCGTGTCCCACCGGGGCCCTCTCCCAGGGCAGCCGGAAATATCTATCCTGGGAACATCTACTGGAACATCTCTGCTGGAATCGAGCTACCTCTCTCCAGACCACCCACTTTTTATACTTTCCCTTGTTGGATACCTTCTGTCTCCCCTCTGTGATAGAGATACCATCACTGGGTATCGTTCACGCTGGGTGCAGAAGGCAGTTTCAGCTGATCTCTGTGTAAAGGTTGGCCTAGCATGGGCCATGCTGAGAAGTCTCTGCCCCATGAGTCCAGCAGGCTGAAACCCATCAGCGAGGTCTCATGCAGAAGCTGCTAAATTGGCTAACACTCTCCTCATGGGGATTAATGGTCCAGCTTCAATTCACCTCAAAAAAATTTATGCTGTATTCCTCCCATGTACTCCCAGTGGCTGAACTCAGGATCCGAGGTGATGCATTTCATTTCTCTGTGGTGCCTGTGAATTGCAAGCCCAGGCTGATCAGGGTGTCAAGCGATCATAAAGCTGCCCGTGATAGCTTAAGAGCAGAAGCTGGAAATGCCTTCTTCACAAGATTAGCATGTGCTAGAACTACTAACAACAGGGGGGAAAGAGTAGCAGTAGGGCTTGAGGAGGCTGCTTTTGGTAGATAAACTGATGCCATGTGTCATTAAAGCTGCACAACGTGGGGATTGCTTGGCTCAGCCACTGCAGCCGCAGCTGTGCCTCAGTTTGCTTGGCAGGGCTGATGCTGGTGGGCTCAGGGAACATAGGTTTTCTGCAGGGATTCCTAGAAAGTTGGGAAAGCAGAACAGTGTGCAGTGCTGCTCAAGAAACAAGTGAGAGCAAACAGCACAAAATGCCCTATGGGACTGGTGAACAGAAATGAGGGTGAGGAGAAGCCTTGCTCAGAGCAGTCAGAAAACCTCTTCAACATGGGCAGCTGGAGGAGGAGAAATGTAACAAGGATCAGCGGGGCACGGGAAGTCCTGTTCTGCTGCTGGCTTAAGCAACAGCAGTTCGTGGCTGCTGCAAGTCATTTTTGTAACAGAAAGGAAAATGCACAGAGCTTCCCTTCTTTGGACGGTAGGAATGTTTTAATTGAGAAAGTTGTTTTAATTACATTAGGTGATATCACAGTCTATTTTACAAGTTCAGGTAAGAGGATGTGTGGACCAATTACACAGGAATCCAGTAAAAGGTTAAAAACCTACAACATGAGAAAAATGAAAAGGTTAACTTAATCCCCCCAAAATGAAACGCATTGAGAGTTTAGTGTGAGTGGAAATGGGAGATTATACCAGGATCCAGAGAAGTACAAAGGATGAGACTAACATAATTTACAGTATTGGTTCTCCATGACCATCGGTTTGCCCGTGTTCAGAGACAGCCTCTTTTCCCCAGTGCATCGCTGAGCAGCTGGTCCTGTCTCTGAGGGTTTGGTCTGGTCTTGTCAGAGGAGAAAGCAAAATAACTGATGGGCAAAGGTCACAACCCACGTTGAGCTGGTCCCCAGGGGTCACCGCCTACAGGAGTGTCTTCCACTGGATAGTCGGGGGGTTCTGCACCAAGAACTGTATGGAGGAAAACTAAAACAGCTCCAAAAAGCCCCATCTCAAATGTAGAAAAGTCTCACTCTGGAAGTGCTTACGAGAAGATCGTCATCATAGAATTTGGTTTCTATAATAACATTACCACTGTGGAAGGAAAAGAGGAGAGAGAAGAGGTGTTAGAAGATTGCAAGACAGTAGAAAATGACTGCTCCTCTCTGTGCTCTCACAACCCTGGGCTGTCACCTAACCCCCACGTAACAGGAACTTTGGTTCGGAGCCACATGCAATGATCACTGTGTCCTGATCCAGGGGTGGCTGGGGCCAAAGGAGCTCCCCACTGCATTCCTACATGGAGCAGTTCTCCCCATCTCTCTCATCACCCCTCCTCTGGGCACGGTACCCCACAGGCTGCAGAGGGCTCACAGCAAACATCTGCTCACATCTACTGCTAAAAATAAAGTATCAGTCCCAGCATGTTCAGGCCCCTCTCTCCTGCAGTCAATAGCGAAAACCAATGGGAATTCTTATTTTATTCCCCAGCTCTGTCCTCTAGTGCTCAGCAAGGTACTTCAACTTCCTGTGTCATTTCCCTCAAGGGTGCTTAAATGCAAACGCAAAAGCATATTTTATACAAACTGCAATGGAAGTGCAGTTTTGGGTGTGACAAAAGCTCTGGTAGTTTAACTTGCTGACTCTGAGATTTTGGTGGATAAAATTAAGAACTCTGAGGCCATTACAGCACCTGGACACCTGAGCAGTGTGATCTGACTGTGTCTAAATAACATAGCTCTGGAAAATCAATGCAGCAGTACCATCTTCACTGTGGCTCTTAGTATCTGTACCACTGGCAAAGCTGGACCTGGCAAGAGCATAAGTTTTTTGCTGTGGCATGGACAAAGTCTGAACTCAAATGTTGGAGAATGTTCTCAGTCCGATTGATATTCAGAAATCCTGCACACTAAGTATCACATCTCAATTCTTTCCTACTATGGAGACACTGAGACAAACACAAGGTTTTCGGAAATATCAGAAGGTGAGAGGTTCTCCAAGTCTTGGCAGCTGAAAAAAGCTGATTTCTTTGGGTCACAAAACCCCTTTTGGATTTCTTTGGGCTGGTGATTCTACTGAAAAGTCTCAAGAATGACTTTAGGACACCTCCGTGTATAGGAGATAGATCTTGGCTGCTCACTACAAGTCCACGCTCCAGGGAGAGAACGGGACACTGGAAAATCCTCAAGGTCACTTGAGTGAGAACTGGACTCTCATGACTCTCAGTCCTGAAAATGCCTTGAGTTCCTGAGATGGTCAAAACCAACTTGTCAGATGTCTTTCTTTCCTTACTCTGATTCCCAAATCTGGCTTCTGCTGTACTGACTGAGAGCCACCAGCTCTGGTAGCTGAGGATGTGTGTAGCACCTGTAAGGGTCTGAGCAGGTATTGTGCCAGGGAGCACTATTTGAACACTGATGCTCTCTTCTGAGACCACTGTCTCCTCTCTGCTGTGAACAGAAACCAGTGATGGTAATTCCTATCCTGGTGCCTTCTCTATGCAACTGGCTTTCTTCCAGACAGGGAATGAGAGGGAAAATGCTGGAGAGGGAGGTCTTCCAGAGGACTCAGCAACCTTGTGGTGAGACTGGCTGCTCCTGTCTGCCTCTTGTTGGCAGCAGGATTCCAATACCCTTCTGTCTCTGCTGGCAACGTGTTCCTCATGTACTTGCCAACACCCATCTAGCACTGCAGGGAAGGTGGCTTTTTGTCAGTGATTACAGCTTCCCAGGGGCCTCCCTCAAGGAGCCTTTTCTGTTTGTCCCCTTATGCCTGGCTGTCCACACTCAGAGTGGTGCCTAGCATGCGCCACTATGACACAAGCCCACGGGATTGCTCACTTGCTGACAACTCAATGTGCAAACAGCGGCCAGGACCAGATGTTTCTGAGGCAGGTGCATGAATACCATTACAGGTGACTGTAAAATGACTGTTTGCTATCTGTTAAGGACATTTTATCCCCAGATACAGGTCTGTGTGACTGAACGTATGGTTTATAAGCCAATGTAAAAGACACAAAACTTGGCAAAATGGTGGGGAGCTGAAACAAAATGCTACAGCAGCTCCTATGGGATGATATATTGCAAGAAAAATAGCCACCTTGGACACAAGTCAGTGATGAACAGCTAGATTTGAAAATGGCCCAGACATCTCGTTGTTCTGGTTTTCCTGGGTATTAAGCTGCAAAGCATTGTAAAATCCTTTCACGGTTCACCTTTCAAAAAAATAAAGCAACTCTAATAAAGGATCAGTTCCACTTTCTTCAAACTTTTATTACTATATTAATGCAAATTGGACCTATGGGAAAGAAGGTAATGAGGTTGGCTTAGCCCCTTTTATCTCTCAACAGCTAACAGTAGTGAGGGTGATCCAGAGTTGGTAGCAGCTCCCTCACTTCATTGTGACTGTAGCCCCCAAGGAAATGCCACACACTGCTTTTTCTCTGCCTGCTCTCAGATTCTGTATTCCCAAGGCACTCACGTTAAAACGTTAGCTGGCATCATCTGTGATTCAGGTGCTGCCTCTATCAAGGACTGCCAAGTGTTTGTGGAGTTAGGAATCACAAAACCGAATTCAAAGAACCATTCTGCAAAGTAAAAAGAAGATCCAGAGGTATTTGAAAGAAGATAAAATCCACAAATGACCCTTTTGCTTTTCACCTGATAGACTAAGGAAGTCCCTAGGCTGTCCTGCTATGCTGCCAATATTTTACATTTATATTACTTCGTACAGCTTAAACTGCACCAAACCCTGCCCTCCTCTTAGAGCAGATACTCCCTCTCTGAAACAGCTGATGGTAATGATAAAATCACACCACTTCCTTAGCATTCAGTGGAGACTACATCACACCTAATTGTGAGCAGGGAAACCACACTCCCACTCTTGCAGACATCCCCGGGATCCAGTTGAGATTAAGTGTACAACTGGCTGCCCAAAGACAAGGAGCTCAATGTTTTATCTCCCCCTCCTCCACCCCAGATCAAGAGTAATATCACAGTGAGGGAGGTCAGAGGTGCAGCTAAGGAGTCACAGAGACAGTACTCAGTGGTACTGCTGTAACCAAAGTAAACCAGAGGCTCCTTTAGTCCAGCCTCCAGTCTGGCAGTGGCCAGCACTAGGTGCTTATGAGGAAGACGCATGAACCCTAGTAATGAGTGACTCTAAAATAACCTGTTCCCTTGCCTCAGGCAGCCTGTGGTGGATTTATGCCTGAAGCATGATCACCCAGATTTTTTTCTTACATAACAAAGTGTTAATACACTTATGAAATGCTATCCCTAATGCTGTGCCCCATTAGTCTTGACAAGATGAGTGCCTCAGCGCTACTCTGAAAAATTAAAATCACCACGTTCAACCAGTTTCAGTTTCGTTAATCCCCGCCGCGATGGGGGTCCCTCCCTGTGCTGCAGCAGGACTGCTCAGAGCAGATGCGTACCTTCTAGACACTGCCCTTTGAAATAAACTTTCTGTTCCAGGCGGAATTTTTCCATTTGCTCTGCTGAGGAAAAGTTTAACTCCCGAGACACTGCTTTGCATTTCAGGATTTTTTTAGGAACTCGAGCTGTGAAACAGATAAAGAAGCATTATTTGGACACAATAGAATCATAGAATCAACTAGGTTGGAAAAGATCTTCAAGATCGTCAAGCTCAACTGTTACCCCAGGACTGTCAAGCCCACCACTAAACCATGTCACTAAGGGCAAACTGATCTCCCCTCATGATCTCCAGTCACAGCCACTCCTCATCTACCCCCCACAATGGCTCACACTGTATAGCTGCCACCTCTACCCCTTATGGCCATCCCTCATCTCCCCATAAGATCTCCCCTCATGGCCACCCCTCACAGCCCATGGCTGCCCCTGCTCTCACCTCACGATCTCCTCTCACAGGCACCCCACCACTCCCCTCATGATCTTCCCTCATGGCTGCCCCTGCTCTCCCCTCAAGCCATCCCTCATGGCCATCCCTCCTGTCCCCTCACGATCTCTTCTCATGACCGCGCCAAGTCTCTCCTCATGATCTTCCCTCATGCCCACCCTTGCTCTCCTGCCACAATCTCTCCTCATCCTTCGTGGCCACCCCTGCTCTCCCCTCATGACCACCCCACCTCTCTCCTCATGATCTTCCCTCATGGCCACTCCTGCTCACCCCTCATGATCTCCTCTCAGAAACAACTTAGTTTTTACATTTGCAGGAGTGAAATCCAAGATGCAAATAGGTTAAGTACCTTGCCTAGAGCCAGGGATGAAACTTGTGACAGAACACCACTGATCTCTCAGATTCCTGGTTCTAAGCTGTTTATTAATAAACCTCACAACTCTTCAAGTTGAAAGATGAGATGCAACTTGTATTTCTTCTTCAGGAAGTGTGCTGAATATCACAAGCAGCCGAAGGGCTGCGTAGTACAGCCAGTGTGTTAGCCCTCCTCACTTCTCCTTCCCTTTCAGACTGTATATCCCCTGTGAACTACAAAGGGCTATTTCTGAAGCTCAGCAGCACTGTTTCAGCCACCTGACAGAGCTCTGGGAAGTTGTCCTGTACAAGTGTACAGAATGCCTGTCCCTCAAACACTGAGACCCACACAGGCAGTAAAGTCAGTACCAAACTAGAGCTTAAGAGTAATTTGGCAATCCAGGGTTTCTGGGCTCTTGCAATTGGTGAGACACCAACAGCAAATGGCAAACTGTACCTGGTAGATATTTCATAAGGCTTTTTTTATAAGTGAAGGAGTAAGAGAAGGGATGGTTTGGGAGCACTGATTAATATGCTGCAAGGTCCTAATCGGGAGAATAAAGGAGGGAGTCAATATACTAAAAATATCCCAAGCCTGTCATGCTTCAGTGGTGTGATTGTACATATTTCTTCCTGCATATTAGAAAATGTTTCATGTAAATTTATTAGGAATAAAGAGGGGAGGGAATACAGCTGGCATGTGCTTTATGAGCCAAACTGTTCTTAAATGGAAAGCATATCAAAACATCCATAAGCAGACAGCAGGCTGCTGTTTAATCAAAGGAAGAGTCTACCAAACCCCAGCCAAATCCATCTGATGTGGAACAGTTTAATGGAGTAGAACTTTGATGAGAAACCAATTTAGAGAGCTGGAGGGATAGGGTATGTAAGCTACCATCCTATCCCATGGAGAAGTACACAGCCCATGGTCTGTTAAAAACAAATTAAATAAAATAAAGAAGTAAAAAGAAAAATTAAAAGTGTAAGAGAAGAATTTTAAATATAAAAGGTCTCTAATTATTTTTAATCCTTTTTGTTGTTTGGGTTTTTTTTTTAAGCACAGAAATCTGTATGGCACCATCCTTTACTGCCCTCACAAGTACAGACTACAGCCTGTTGTGAATAAATACCCCTTTGCAGTTAAGTGTAAAATGACTTGTTAAAACTATTCTGCAATTTAGTAACTATATTTCTTTCATCCTCAAGACAGACTGCTGAGAATGTTTGTTTTAATAGTGTAAAGCTACAAAATAAAAGGTTACTTTAGAAAAGTGGGGCTGTGTAGTCTTTAAACATCTGGTCTAAGAGATTTTATTTTATATTTATACCATCAAGCAGAAAATAATAATTGAAATTATTTATTTAAAACTCATTTTTCTTTCATACCTCTTCTTTTTCCATTAAAAAGACAGAAGAAGAGAAAGCAGTTTGATTTGCATCAGTTAGGTTCATATTAAACTATGCTGAAATGCAGGTAAGCATCAAATTTATCCTAAATTTACTACTGCTTTTTTTCTAACTTGAGTATATACTTATACCTGCACATTTATTTAAGCTAACACACGTTCAGTCAGATACTTAATTCTGGTTAGAAAGTGATGAATGACACATTTCTTATTTACTAAGCAAATCATTTTGGGTACAACCACGTTTACTTAGAAACTGAAATTCTATTAAAATATCTGTATCATGTTTTCATGTAGGTTAATGAAACTACCTTAAATATTTGGGGCATATAAGAAAGGAAGCTATCTTAGCCAAATTTATTTTATATTTCAAACTACATCTTTTCTTACATAATGAAAGGATTATTTGTATTTTCTGAATGAAAGCTGGCTCTGGTGACTGGGAACAACACTGGCAATTCTACAAGTGCTAGACCTCAGCAGCTTACTCCATTATGTGCTTGTATAGCAGAAGAAAACAAACTTCATGGATTTGCATCTCCCAGATTGCCTCCCACTTTTGAATGCACTGTCAGTGAATTGAGCTGACCGGCTACATAGAAAAGCTCCTGCTGTCAAAAGCTGGTTTAGAAGGTTAATACCAGTTTCAGGTGCTCAGGCAGTGATTTCCACTATTTGTAGTAGTTTAATGTTCCAACTTCAGCAGAAATCCAATACCATGTTAATATTCCTTTTATTTAATCTAAGTGGTAAGTTTTACGTAGTAATACAGTATCATGATTTAAAACTTAAGGGTTTATTTTTTAAAGAAACTTGTACTTAAATCAAATAGAAGTCCTGTTTAAAAAACAAACAGAATCCCATTTCAAGGAAATGCAATTTATTCATTCTGCTATATATGTGATTCTTTGTGATGTCTAGACTGCGATTTGCCCTGAATGGCCACAGAACACACACAAGTACTATATAATGACTTTGAGACATACATGGCCAACATTTGAGAGGAGATTTAGATTAGACATTAGGAAGTTCTTCCCTGTGATGGGGGTGAGACACTGGCACAGGCTGTCCTGAGAAGCTGTGGCTGCCCCATCCCTGGAAATGTTCAAGGCTAGGTTGGACGGGGCTTTGAGCAACCTGGTCTAGTGGAAGGTGTCCCTGCCCACAGCAGGGGAATGGAACTGGATGAGCTTTAAGGTCCCTTCCAACCCAAGCCATTCCATGGTACTATGATTCTGTTTGTCCTCACTGTTTCTGTTGCAGGACTATACCAGAATCACATTTCACTATAGCTTCTTTTAATTCATAGTCAGATAATCCTCCTTTGTTGGACACCTCTCCCTTTTCTCAGCTCTTAGCCTATTTATTGAGAATAATCTATCCATCTCAGCCTTCTTTTCTCACTAAGCCATACAAGTACATCTTTTTTCCTCTCTTCTCCTAAGGAAGACCATTCTCCCATCTGTAATCTTTTCAGTGGCTTCTCCTAATAGCTCTTCTCTGCACCTGTTCCAGTTTGCAGTCATCCATCTTCTAAATGGATGAGTGAACTGCACACCACATAAGGTCTTAACAATTCCTTCTACCATGGGCATTAATCTCATGCCAGAGTATGTTTTAATTAATTCCCCAAGCTACTCTAATGGAGGTGAGGGTTCCTGTTTTATATGTGAGGAAAATCTGAGACACAGTGAGGTGATATGATCTGCCAAAGTGAGAAAGATGGCAGGAGGGAAATGAGGCAACACAAAAACCCCTCCTGAGACACAGCTCCAGCTGTCCTTCCTGCCCCAAAGCACACCTTCCTGCAGTTTGCATTGAACCACAGCAGCTCAGTGCTCTGTCAAGACAGACCTAAGAGGATTTAAAGACTAGCCATGCATCCAAGAAGCAGCTTTTACAGCACAAAGTCTGGCAAGACTGGGAATATTTTTAGCTGATTTTCTTCTGCTTTCTAGAGCCTGTTTCCTCATTTCTCCTAGGTATCCTATTACACAGTTATTTCTAGAAGGCAAAATACCACTAATCTGCAGTCTAAGAAATTCCATATTAAGATGATGAATTCCCACATTTCTTTTAAAAGATGTATTTCAATTGCTTTCCTACAGTTGTAGGTGTTTGAATATTTTTCTTTAATATAGATATCTTATATAATAGGCATAAGTAAGTATCTGCTAAGGTCTATTAGCAGAACTGTTTGCTGTTAGTGCTGGTAGGAGAATGGGAGTACAGGTTAGCAAGGCTGAAAGAAACAGCTTGGAAAATGCTTTTAGTTATCACTGAGTCAAAGCTCTGCTTTCCTCTAGCTCTGACCTGCATCTTCTACCCCTTGCATCAGGTCCCTCTTAAACTCCTGGTCTTATTAATGAACTGTTATCATGAATGTTGGCTGGGGACCAAATGAGAAGGTAACTTGTTTCTCTTGTGCCTTAAGTGGGCTTTGAAACCAGGTATATTGCTGGAAGACTACTGGATTCACAGAGTTTTGCCACAGATCTTCTGTATGCTCTCTGGGCAGAGGAAGATCTTTATATTCCGGCTGCCTCCTTCAGATACAGCAGATTTTCCAAATTATGGGAAAGGTAAGTCCTAGTAGTGACAGGCAGAACTCAGTCTTTGATGTTTAACCAAAAATAAATCAATGTCAGCAGCAAAATTAAATGATCAATTCACTTACTGGAGATCAGCTACAGTACTCACATAATAGAAAAGTTAAAATTAAGTCAGTGAGGTCAGACTCTTCCCAGAGCCAAAGCAAAGCTCTTGGCAAGGGCCACTACCTATCACAGTGCTTTGTCACAAAAAAATAGGGAAGAGTAAGGGACTGTGAAGTCCTCTGCTAATCAGCAAGGACAGAGTAGAAGCGCAAGAGGCATTCTAGCAGTGGTAGAAGGGCAGGAGAACAGAGCAAACGTACCATGTGCACCATTTTAAAGCACAGGTCAAATTTAGTGTGTGGCCAGGCAGGGTAGTAACTGTACATGCTTCTTCCCCACTGGGTCTCCATTTGACCTCTACCTTGACTAAATCCTGTTGTTATACTGAGAAAAGTTAATATATTTTTATACTTTCCATTTTGGAACTAACACTTAACTTAGCAAATGTCAGCCAGTTACTCCTTACCCAGCTTGGTTCACTGCTTAGCATTGTTCAACTTGTCCATTTTGCCAGTCCCTGATTCACTACCATGCTTTTTTTGTGGAGTGTGTCCTCAGATTTTTGTGGTGGAAGCTCCTGAAGGTGTGAGGTCAAAGCCAGGACATCTGGTCCTTCAAAGCAGGGGTATGCTCACAACTCTGGTGACCTAGACATGCAGCACCACCCAGCCCCAAATGCACAATAAGGGCACACAGTACCTTCATGCTCCACTCCAGGTACAGACAGATCTTCTGTTCCTTGCCAAAGGATCTTCCCTGTTTCTGCATCCCGAAGGTTCATCCAGTTTCTGATTGGGAAGCCATTAAGGAAAAGAAGCTATCTACATTTCCTAAATGCTGTGCCTAGTATTCTTTGCTAAGCCCTGATATAAGCTGCTCCAGCTGAGTTTCAATCATATTTTCTGATTCTTAGGAGGCCAAGAAAAAGAGATGCTTTTTTCCCTGAAAATAAATGAACAAACCAACCCTTGACCAGAATGAATTCAACAAGAGTTGGATAGTCACAGATCTAATTTTCACTTTCAAATGAAGCTTGTTAACCTCATTTATCATTTTCCATTGCTTCTAAAGAATAAAGGCAATGCCACTGTGCTGCAGAGAAGCAAGAACATTGCTAACAACAGATAATTCTACACAAACAGCTGCTATTCTCTGGCATTCAAAAAATGCTAGGTAAAGAAATGATTCCTATAGAGCACTAGAAAAAGAGTAACACTCAACTGAGTTTGTTTTCCTAGCTTACAAAGTATTAATACAAAGGGTTGTTCTATTGCTGTTGACCTGGTAACTGCCACTCATGGGGAATTCTTCAGCTGCTGAGTGCTAAGCAAAGTGAGATCCTCTCTTTTCACTCTCAGCAAGTGCCAGCTTTTAAAAAACCCAGACCACTGAATTAGTCATTAAAGTTATAGGCAAGCATGACATACCAGTATTTTCAAAGGGACAATTAATAATTATCTTAAGCATACCTTTGAAAAATCTCTCCCATCACACAATTCACACATCGACATATCAGGACAAGGAGCCTGCATACCTGCCCCATGCCATTTGAATAGGAATACAGCCCAAGGTCCCACAACTGCCTCCTGCTCTGCAGCTCATCAGCGTGGCTCCAAGGAGTCACTGGCACAAACACAAACAGCCTGAATACAGCAGGATCTGCGAGTTACAGCTATGCAAATAAGTGCCTTTCCAAGTGTTTCCTTTTGCTGGTTTAGTGCAACCTTTGTACTCAGGACTTCCTAGACAAGAGACTGGAGACTATGTGGGAGAAGGGGAGAAGTCAACTGCTGAAGGAACTGACTGGGGAGGTAGAGAAACAGAAGAGTGACAATATGGACCTTGATGTAGGTATAAGTAGGAGCTATCAGAGATATGCATATTGAACTCATCCTCTAACATACACAGTTTCCAAGCAGACTCACACAAACTCGTCACATTGATCAAATTTTTCCAGAGCTCCAAGGAAGAAACAGATGCTTTAGCAAATTTTGCATTACAGAGTAACATTTGTTTTAAAATTATGTGTGTGGAGGAGGGAAGGGAAGGTGGCTGCTTCAGTGCAGATGTGAGCAGTTTCCCTTCCTGAAGGCTGGCCAGACTTTCTGTGTCCCACTGAAAGGGCAAGAGAGGGAAGAAAGCTGGGAATATGTGCACAGGGTCTGCTGACACAGGCATGGCATTGCAGCTTCCAAAACTTAGCAACAACAGGAAGAGGGAGCATCAGGCAGTCTGCTCAAGTCCTTCTAGACTTGTTCTGAAACACATAATAGCTACCATTGCTTCTGGGATTAAGGCAAAAGTGAAAGGAGAAGATGGAAAGCATCATTCTCGGAGGGCCCATATGCAACCTCCATACCCCAGCAGAAAGCTGGAAAGTGGAGATATCTCTGCAGCTAGCAAACCAAGGCAGACGGGGGCTGTAGGCAGACAAGTCAGAGAGAGAAGATGAGCAGCAGCATGGCAAGAAGAACCTGCAACAGGGCTGGGCATTTCACTTGGTGCTGGCTGGAAAACTTAAAAGTCTCCAGCCAATGCAACCTGCAGGATGGAACAGCCCCAACTGTATTTTAAAACGCCCCAAGAAATCCACCATTTTTCAAAACATCTTCCCACAGACACACATACAAACCAGCCAGGGTGAAGCTATTTGCATTTAAAGCAGCGTGCTATCTATCAAATGCCATGTACAAGGGAAAAATAACAGATGAGACAATCTGAGCATCTCACTGACAAATTCATTTATCTTCACAACACCCCATGATGCAACACTCTTCACTATTAGCTTTAGGGTAATTCAGTAAATTGGGTACTTGATTATCAAAACCTGTATTACCTTTAAAAAATTATCCCCCTCAGAAGTTTATTTACTTTCTATTTGTTCACTATCGATTATCAGTGGGAATTCTGAGCTCACAGGTCTAGCCATAGGATGTGTAATGCCAAACTGAGCAGTAGACAAGTTCCTCTGAACTGGAGATGAAACACTAACCAGAACAGCAAACCTAGCAACAGAACTGATCTAGCCTCCCAAATGCTGTATCAGTACTCTAACTAATGGACTGTCTTCCTTTTTCCTTGCCATGCTTTGCCTTCCTGTCCCTCTTCTCTAATAATATTTAAAGTACTCTGAAATCACATTTACCACTTTCAAAAGTATCACATTAGAACTGCCCTTCAAAGAGTACATATAGCCTCACAGCCTAATTGTTATCCTTAGTTGAAATGCATAGTTACAGACTGATAGTCACTTGCTTTTTCTGGTGAGAGAAAACACTGCTGCAGCCTACTGATCTCTGTCGCTTCTCCCTACAAGGACTCATCTCTCAGTTCAGTCCGAGAGAGATGATGCAAGTTATACTGGCATACTGAACAATGCTAGATCTGCTAACATTTGGGGTGTTACACTTCTGTAAAATGCTGCCAGACTTTATTCGGTATTGACTTTCCACTGGAAGAATAAATCCATGCAGGACAACCTGCCCTGGGCTTTGCACTGACTGTCAAATTAAAGATGAAGAATAAGTAAAAAGCTCAAGACTATATCCCTGCTCATGAGAGCATACAGGTCAGCAATGCATGCCACAGTTCCCAGAAAATATCTTGTATTTAAGCAATCTGTGCATTACTAACCCATGTAAATTTCTTATCAAATGAAAAAAGGTTTAGTATCAGGGTAGCCAAAGGCTTTGCTACCTAGATAAATGCATGTGCAGGTTCAGGACATGCTGTTCCAGCTTCCGCAAATGAAAAAATTGAAATCAATCTGCTTTTCAGAGTGCATCCACACAGTTAAAATATCTGAAGGGATGAAATACTCTAGCCAGTCCACAAGTTTCTTCCTAATAAGTAAGCATTAAAAAGGAAGAACAAATCATCAAATTTAAAAGTGCAAACACACAATTATCTTCTATTGGAAAAAAAAGTTCAAGACATTCATTCTTTTTTTTTTAATAAACGTTTAAAAAGAAACAGACATCTGAGTAAAATCCTCAGTCAAAAGCAAGAAAATTTATAAGACTTAACTGTAATAGAATTAAAAAAAAAAAAGGCAAAACCCATTACAAGTGATTTTTTGGCAAAGGAACACCTGACAAAAGCAGCAGCTGTACTGCTTACCTAGTTAGCAGCTTATCTCACTGTTTCTGTCATCTTGGATAGAAAGGCTGGCACTAGGACATACCCCAGAGTGAGGAAAATGGAGATCTTGAACCAAACCCACACACAGAGTTATCTTCTAATGTGTTTAATTGGTTTAAGATTCTTCCATCCCAGCATGAGAGATATTGTTACTAAAAATAAAGTGCTCCGTCTCCCGGGCAGCAGTGGAGACCTGCAGGCAGGATGAAGAGGACATTTTAAGTATTATTGAAAAGGAGAAAGTAAATTAATATAGGTTTAACACAATTACTCTTTGAAGAGCCTTGTCAAGCCACTTGGCAGGGGTAGCTAAGGAGAGCCAGGCAGTTACAGTTTTGTGAAGTTAATATATTCAGAAAAAAAAAAAGAAAAGTATATTCCTAATTCAGCTCCTCATTCTAACATTCCAAAATCACAAGAACTCTCTTAGACCATTAAATTTTCGTTCTCCTGGATTTATTTTATTTTATTTTTTGCAGGAAACAATGTCTGATTTAAGACTCAATAGATCAAACACTCTTCAATCCTGAAGGCAAGGAAGGATTAGGTAGAACAGCAGAAGGAAGGGTGTACTGTTGATCTATTTATATTCCACCACCTATTGGGTCAGCAAAGTCTTACATAAAAGCTTTGTAGTAGCTGGAATTTGACTTGCTTTATATACATGACATGAATTAGCTTCCTCTCAGACCTACTTTGCTTAGCCAGATGAAGGGAAATGGTTTGTGCAATTCTAAATCCAAGTTTTGTTGTCTTGAATACCTCTGATCTCAGAACAGAAATTCTTTCTTTTTTTTATCTGTCATAGGGATCACTTTGTTCAAACAAATCAAAATATACATACTTTAAGTGCTTTAGCATTGCAAAAGATTCCCACATATTGCCACACTGGTAATTAAGAATAACCTTGAAGAAAGAGAATGAGTACAAACAAAAATAATCATTAAAGTAGTACAGAGTTAAAGAAGTTCTGTCCCAATCTCCCTGACCATTTTTGTATGTTGTAATGTTAGCACTTCTTGAATATCTCAAAGGCTGCAGCAAACAGTAGGTGCCATCTCTTCCATTAAACTAGTCCATTTTTTGTTTTATTCCTTGCTGTCCACACCATTCTAAAAGCTTAGGAACTGCTGTATTCTTCATAATAAGGGCACACCTAACATTCATAACCACTCCTGGAAGGGAAGGGCTTTCATCATCTCTGACTTTTTTTTCCTTTTTTGTACATAAATGCAACATTAAGACCAGTTCACTACATGCCAGATGCAAACAGGATCTCAACAATTAAGTGCCAATGAGAACTGTCCTATGAAACAAATGACAGAGAGAAGGTGGAGAAGATGGAGCTGAAAGCCCTGAACAATTCAGACTTACACTCTGCAGCAGGCTCAGAAAAGCTTCTGATTTGGATTGCCCAACTTTCACTCCTGATTTTACACTGTCTGTCATGAAAAGCAGACACAACCAGGCACTCATGACATGGGTAAGCATGTTACTTTGAAGAATGTTACAGATAAGTAAAAAATTAACCTTTAGGGATTATATTTTTATCAGAAATATTTTCCCAGGAGAATATTTGCATGTCAATTGCTTCAATCTAGTTGGCCAAGTAAGGACCAAAAATAAGTTATGCAAAATAACTACCAAA